ACCGAGACTGGGCATGGTGGTGCAGGTCTGCAAGGCCAGTGCTGGGGAGGCTGAAAACAGGAGGGTCACTAGGAGTCCTAGCTGCATTGTGAGACCCTGTACCAAATACAGTAAAAAAAAAAAAAAAAAAAAGGCCTCAGTACATGAGCATTGGGGGACACGTCACGTTTAAACCAAGATGCTCCCTATATTTCATTAGTTTTATACATCTTGAGGTTGGCAGGTGCCTGAGGTTGGTGACTTCTTCTTGAACTGTCTTCTAGGCTTGTGTCTTCCCCTTTCAATGCACTCCGCTTCACGTTCCATTCTGCCTCCTGTCTGTACAACTTCGAGCTTACTTACATTTAATTTTGAGTTTTTGAATAGTGTGACAGTCACATGGTTCAACCTTGAAAATGTGTACAATTATATTCAGAGAAGCCGCCTTCTCACGTTGGCCTCTGCAGCTGCAGGCAGGCCCAAGGCAGACTCGGCGTCACCAGCATAGTAAAAATCATCCGCCTGTCTGGGGTTAGCAGGAAACACAGGCTGACGCAAAGGACAGGCCACCTGGACAAGGACTCTGGACACGGTGTCAGTGCTGAGGGTACAGCTAGGACACACTGTCTGGGAGCAGTAGAGAACTGTACGCCCTCATGCTAGGCCCAGGGAGGATTTCTGGTGGTCTCTGCTTCAGGGGCCGCTGTATCGGGAAGCCCTTCCACGTTCCAGAACCTCCGTCCGTCCGTGTTGGCAAACCTGTGGCATGCGTGGCAAAGTGGCTCTTCGTGCCGTGGGAAGAGCTAAGTGGTTCGTCATCACTGACCAATACCATGCTCTGCCTTGATGGCAGGCAGGGGAAAAAGAAGGCATTGGAGACGTGGACTCAGAGAAGCACTGACTAGGTCTGAACCCTCAGATAGTCCACCTTGAAGACATCTTTAGTCTTATTTTTTGAACTGTTCACCCACCCATGAAAAGCGTTCTGAGATTTCATGGCTATTGGGTTCAACCAATCAACCAATCAACACTTTTAACTGATACTCACTGTCTTGATGTGCATAACCATTGTAGGCACAAGCCAGTCCCTCGCCTCGGAGAGCCTAAAGTTTAGATGGTGCTAAGAAATGTATAAAACAAGGAATAACATGAAGAAAGAGAAAAGCAGCCATGTGCTGCAGGTTGGTCTGTGAAAGTATCGCTAAAATAACCCCTGGGACATAGCTGTAGATCTATGTAAAACATCTGTAAGTGGAACACCGATTTGTGTTTGCTGTTCCCTACACACAGCATTTGAAAAACAGCCCCTGAACAACAATGGAGGCCACGCTCCGGACTCGCCTCGCGCTGGCCGGCCACATACAGCGCAGCTCACTCTTCTCACCCGCCCACCTCTCCCCCACTCCCTGTCCTTTCTCCCTCTCCTCCCCATGTGTCTTCCTGTCCCCGCCTTCCTGCCCCCAGCACCACTAACGCAGCCGCATCCCCAGCCAGCCCTGCCCTACCGACGCCTTTCTGCTGAGAAGCGAGGTGGCTGTGTCAGGGCTCTGATGCCTATTTTTATCCCCGTGTTTGTCCGGAGTCTGACGTGGCCGTCACCGTCTCCCCAAAGGCCCATTGTTCAGCCCTTCAAGAAGAATGTTGTTATATTGACTGCTAGTGCGTCAGCCCGGCTCTCTCTGGAGCAGCTTTTGGATGAAATTAGATAATTTCCATTAGGAGACCGTGCATTATTAGTCCCTGGTGCCAAGCTGGAGAACGTGCCAAGATGACTATTTCTGGTCAGGCTCAACTCAGGAAGGAACCTTCTTGGCTTTAATGGGATTTTGCTATTGTTGGTAGCCTTCTGTTTGACACCCGGCCAGCCCAGGGTTGGAAATTGTTTAGAAAGCTGCATGAAATATAATAGAGACCAGCCATTTACTAAAGCACATTCCTGAACCATGTTTATTTTGAAGAAGAGAAAAAAATATATTGTCCTTGGCAGACAACAATTTAAAAAAGAAAAAAAGAAAGAAAGCAGTAACTTGACTCCCTGAACATATGTGTCTCATTGCCAGTTGTGTTTGAAAATTCCCTTTTGGTATCAGAGAATTTCACACTGAAGGGATAAACTGCTTGTCCTACACATAAGCATCTTCACCACAGACCCATCCGGTCACCTAGGCCTTCGAGGATGATGCTGTCTAAGATGAGGTGTGGGAAAGAAGAAGCCCCAAGGAATATTTCAGGAGCCTGCTGGGGACAGTCTGAGCCCCAGATGTCAAGTCCCCCAAATCCCCTTTGTCTTTCTCTCCAGTCAGAACTCTTCTCACCCAGCTCTACCAGCCATGCCTGTTCGCAATGGCTGTGGGCTGTGCAGTTAGTCGGGAGCCAGAGTGGTGGGGGCTGGGGGGCCGGTGACATCTTCTCAGCCACTGTCAGAGTTGGCTGTGGAAAAGTTCCTCTATTTTGGCGTCACTGTTGCCAGAACAAGGCCCTTGTCTAAGGGGCTTGAAATACTGGGCTTTCTTGGGTGAGACTGAAGTCCCCAACCGCTGGCCGTGGTTGTGTGCTGGTGCCCAGCTGACCTTGTTTCCTTATCCGATCCGGTTGGGCTAAGTGCATGTGTGAGAAAACAGCAAACAGAACAGAACACAAGCCCTGAGGTGAGGCCTCGACAGACAACCCTTGAAGAAAAAATAAAATCCCACCTACTGTAGGAGGTCCCAGGCTGAATCAAAATGCTGTTTCCCAAGACAGCTTGCAGATAAAATCTTAAGGTCTGGACGCCAGTTCCCATCGCTGACATTTAGACGTCTTCAGACCTGCCGCTTCCTCTCAGTTATTAGGCGTCAGCCTTGGCCTTTTCCTCTTCAGCTCTTTCAATAAATAATATGTGCGTGAAGTCTTGACTCCCGACCACATTGAGGATGAGGGGAAGCAGAGATAATTAAAAGACAATCACCAAAGCCAACCATGGAGTCAGCTTGTGACAGAAATGTCACCTTTTTCCCGTGAAATGTCTCCTCAGAAGTGCTGACCCTCGGCCAGAGTCAAGATGGTGGGCAAGCCCTGCCAGGACGGGGAGAAGGGAGGCTCAGAAATGGGAGGCCGCAGCCCCGGGCCTGCAGGAGGCCAGGGCACCACAGTGTCAGCAGCTCCTTCCACGTGGCAGGCAGGACTGAAAGACAACCCCAAGTGCCAGCCGGCTGCCTGTGGGCCCCTCCCCGAGCCTGGGGGCCTGGTGAGTTGGGCAGGTGGCGCTGTGCTGTGACTCGGTTAAAGGATGGAGCACAGGTGAGCTGGGATGGCAGGTGTCATTGAGGTCCAAAGTTAGCTGGGTTTAGGGGGCCAAAGCGAGGTGGTCCTGGTCTCACTCAGCCAAGGTTCCTAAAGGGATCCGGTCCCTCTCAGTGGAGACACCAGTAGGTGGGCTGCTAGGACCAAGAGCAGGAGCTGTAAACAGGAATTCACTCATCACTGTGGTGGAGGTGGAGGGACCTCTCTCCAGTGTGCAGACAAATGTTTTCTTGGGTGTCCTCACACAGGGAAAGGGAGCTGGGAGCTGTCTGGGTCCCTTTCACAAGGGGCTTTACATTCCCGAAGGAAGGTCAGCACCTCTGACAGCTGCTGCACTCCTGGGGGGACTGGCACAGGAGTGGGCACTGGGGGCGTGTCCTGCTCCCTTTCTGCTGCGCTCCAGGAATCCGCAGCCAGGCTGACCTGGGGGTTTGGTGGGAGGCTCCTGGGAGCTGAGGGCTTCAGCTCTGTGCCTTACACAGAATCCCGCAGGCCACCCTGAGCAGAGCTGCCTCCTGAGAACACAGAAGCAACACTGTGCCCTGAGACCCAAAGCTGGGACCCACAGCCCGGGGTGCCCGGAGCTGCTGGGCATGCGGTAACCGCAGCACTGCAGCAGGAGGTGGCTGGCGGTGGCCAGCTATCCAACATAGCACAGGTCTGCCTGAGGGGATCACTGGCATGGGCGCCCCCAAGGCTTCAGCTGCACGTGGCTGTCTCCCCAGGGTGCCTGAGACCCTGATGGGTCACTGGCTACTTCCTTCCTGGACAGCAAATGACGCATCTGGGACACCACGCCAGCCTGGGTTCAAGGCCCCTTTGATACTCATTAGCTACATAACTTGGCCAAGTTATTTAATATCTTCATCTCAGAGTTTTAAAAATGTGAAAAGGAAACAAACTATTCAAAGAGAAGGAACAACTGAGATGAAGGAAAGGAGGAAAAAAAGAAAGAAGGGAAAAATATATGCATATGCACAGGATAGCTGGGAGACTACTGCTGATTTCTACTTATCAGCTGAAAGGAACAATTAATGATTATTTTTCTTTTTATTTTCTTTTACTTTTTGACCAATTTTTCATGCTTATATCTGGTAATCTTAACTAACTTGAGGACAGCAATGTGTAGTATAACAACATTTGTTGAATTCCTATCATTTTGTTTAGTGAAATTCTGCATCGTTTCTAATGTTTTTGATTACTTTTTATTATCTTTAAAAAACAAAAATAGGGCCAGCTGAATAGCTCAGCAGATTAAAGCGCCTGCAAGCAGGCACAGGGCCTGGACATTCGATCTCAGGCCTGCCCCGGCCCTGCCCCCTGGGCGCGCTGGGACAGCAATTGAGACCGGTCTGGTAGCACGCGGCTGTAATCCCAGCTCTTGGGAGGCTGTAAACAGGAAGATACTACAAGTACGGTCTAGTAGTGAGACCCTGAACACCCTGTAGACCCCTAAAAAAACTAAATAAATAAAGTGAAAAAGATAAAATAAAATAAAATGGGGACAGGAATACAATTTTTAGAGTCATCGTGAGAAGTAAATGCACAGTGGGGCGAGTGGCCCCGCAGCAGGACGGGCGCTGTGCCTGCTCGCTGCATGAGGTTTTGGGGTCTCAGCTCGAGAGCTGCTGTCCTGGCGAGACACCCCCTGCGCCTGCTGCTTCAGGCCAGCTCCTTCGCTTGCCTCAAAATTTAAAGAGTCAAGGGTGAACTAGGAAGTCAGGAGACAGATCCGTTACCAGTGGGAAGCGAGCACGCGAAAGCAGGCGGCAGGAAGACAGGGAGGTCGCCGTGAAAGGCGCGGGGCGGCGGAGGAGGCCGAGCGAGGAGCGGAGCTGCTCTGCCGCACGCGGACGCCGGACGCAGGGCAGCCGCCGCCAGCAGGAGCCTGCCCCGCCGCGCGTCCGCCCGCCTCCTCCCGGGCTCCAGCACCTCGGGCTGCAGGCCTGCAGGGCTTCCCAGGCAGCCTAGGAAGCCCTCCAGTCTCTTCGTCCTGCTCCAGCCCCGGGGCCGGAGGGCGGCAGCCAGACCGAGCTGAGCCTGAAATCCACCCGGGGCCTCTCGCGGGGGACCCAGAGGAGCTGCTCAGGCAGTCGTGACCTGAACGGAGCCGGGCAGCCTGAGAAGCGGCGGCGCCGCGTCCCCAGCGTGCGGGCGTCCCGACCTCAGGAGCCTCCTTACCATCCGCCGCCCCCCGCGCCCCCAGCATCTGTGTTCTGGGGCAGACGCTTGGTGGTGTAGTCCAGACAGAACACGGAAACCTTCTGGCCTGGCGCGGGCCCCTCCTGGATGGGGAGCTCCCCGGGGCCTAGGGCCGCTGCCCCCCGCCGGGCTCGAACACGCGACCCCTCGCCCAGCCGTCCCGCGGGGCCGCAGCCCGCCGCCCTGGCGCCCTGCTGGACTGCGCCGGCCGGCCGGTGGGCAAATGTGAGAAAGCGCTCCTTAGCGGGACTGCTGCGCCCTGCGGAGGGCAGCGCCAGGCCGGGGCCCTTTCCCGGGCACTGCGTTTATTTTCAAGGGAAAACAATTCCGATCAGAGCTATAAAAAGCGCTCTGGAGATAACTCAGGCCTGTTTGTTTTCAGTGAGGACGGCCCCGCCCTGCACCTCCTCCTCCTCCTGCCGGGCCTCCTCTTCTCCTTCCTCGAAGCCCGTTTCTCCTCTGTTCTTTTATTCACACTGCGTCCCTTTCATTGTCCCCTGCTCAGAAACATTAGATAAGAATCTGACTGCGTGGCATGAGGAAAATCCGCTCTTCCCCAAAGGAGCCTACCATTGTGCCGCCGCACTTCAAAGCCCTCACGTGACCTTATTTTTATTCTTTCTTTCATTTTTTTTCCTTCAAAAGTATGAACAATGCAGTTCACATCCGAGACCATCTGTGGGAAAATGTATTTCTCATTAGCCTGATACTAAGCTGCTGACCGCTGGCAGAGAGATACAGTGACTCATGCAAAGATTTGTGAAGACGCTTGACATTTTTTGCTCTTCTAAACAGTACAATGGTAACAGATTAGACCTCGGCAGAGACTGAGGGTCAGGAGTCACCGCTGGGTTATTCCAGGCCTCATCGAAGCAGCTCTTTAACCAAGTTATTAACTCAATATAATTGTGAGCTTAATGTACATAGAGCACGAGGGTGGGACAGCGAGGGCCGGGGCGCCTGCATTTCACAGGCAACATGACCAGTCACCATCACAGCGAAGGACAAGAGCGCTGGCCACAGGACAGAAGGCACAGGGTGCCTAAGTCGGGGGACTGAAGCCCCTCCTGGCTCGGGCTTGCGGTTCTCAGCGGTCCTTCACAGTAACGGGGTCAGGGTAGCAGAACAAGTTTGTCAGGACGCAGCTGATAGCATGCGACAAGGAGCAGACGTGAAGGAGAGGTCGCGGCCAGCGAGGAAGTGGACACTGAGGGGAAATCTGGCCTTGGCTTCCTGTGAACCATCAGCACAAGCACAGCCACAGGTCCCTGGCCTTCTCGTCAACAGAGGTGCTCTCTGTCCCCTGGCAAGTGACCCAGACTGCCCAGGGAGGACAGGCGATGTCGCATCCCTCACAAACAGCTTATCAGGTGCCTAGCAAGATGCCCAGACACTGCTGCGCCTGCTAAGTCTCAGATGCATCTCGAAAGGGACCCGGCCTTTCCTCCCCTTTCTCCACCAGCACCCCTGGCTCGGGCACCAGTGGCACTGGCGCGAGCTGACCGCCGCCACCCGCCTACTCACATGCTCGTGGTGCTGCCGCCTCTCTCTTACTTCATTTTACCTCATTTATCCTTCTCTTCTTTCTGCAGCCCGACTTCCACTCCTCTCTTCTCTCACCAGCACCCATCTGGAACAGGTAGCTGAGGACCCCGCTCTGCTCCTTACTCTGTGAATGTGTACAGGACTTTGGAGATCTAGTCATGTTGCCATCCATACGTGTGTGTATGTGTGTGGTTGTGTATGTGCCCACATATGCCACCATGTGTCATTTAACAAGAGGCACCTTTCAAGAAATGTATTATTAGGCAGCTTCATGGTTGTGCCAGCGTCACAGAGCATGCCCACAGAGACCAGATGGATGTGGCAGCCTCCCAGATGCCCAGCTGTGTGGGGTGGCCTGTAAGTCCTGGACCACGCACCTAGGAAGCATGGCCCGGTGCTCAGCAAGCACAGCACAGCGGCAAGTGCGTGTGTGTCGGGACAGCTCTGGGTGTGGGAGGGGTCCAGACCAAGTGCTGTGGTAGGAATCCCCCACTCCACTGGACTCCTAGGAGACCACCATGGTATAACCGATCCGTCCTCGACCGACACGTTACTCGTCCTAAGTCTGCGTGTGTGTGAGTACTGACTGCTGCGGATGTATCGCGGATGTCGCTTTATATTTACCCTTTCCCTTAGGAACAGGCCTGTGGGTGCCTCCAACTGCTCACTATTTTGAATTTATGCTATAGCTCTGATACAGTTTTAAAGTTAGAGAAAAGTAGCAGCAACAGTCCAAGAAGCGTCCGTGTACTCGTCGGCCACACTGGCCCGCCCGGCACGCCCTGCTGCCCTGGCTTCAGCGTGACCGGGTTCTCTTCCTGGCACGTCTGCGTTTGACCATTTGCGAGTCAGTCAGGCATATCAGGAGCCCCCTTCTCCTGAACTATTTCAGGGATTCCACTCTTTAGGAACAAGAACCGCCTCTCATTCATCACAATATCAGCAAAACGAGGGTAGCGAGCACGGCCGTGGCAGTTCATTTCCCCCAGAGTGCAGACTCCGCTCTCATCATCTGCTCCACTGCTGGGCACAGAGCTGCCTTGCTGTCCCTCACCAGGGTCCCGTCCAGGGCGGCGCATTGTGTTATGGTGGCATTTATTTCATGTTTGAATTTTACCTTTTTTTTTTTTGGCAGAGCCAGGGACTGAACTCAGGCCCTTGTGCTTACCAGGCAAATGCTTATTCTACTGAGCCATCTCCCCGGGCCTTGAATTTTACCTTTAATTTCTATTTATTCATTTATCTTTTGGAGACAGGGTCTCACTATGCAGCTCAGACTGGCCTTTAGCTCTCTTTGTATCCCTTGAACTCACAATGATCGTCTTGCCTCAGCCTCCTACAGGTGTGCGCCACCATGCCCGGGTCTTCAATTTAATTTTTAAACTTACATTTCTATGCATAAAAGCCATGTGTAACAGCAGGGTGCTAGGCGATGCTCCCACACAGGGGCGTCTTCTTCAGTCTCCTTCAATCGCGTGCCAGAATACACCCAAACACGGAGAGCACCAGGAAAGGCACGCGGTGGTAGGAAGCCTTCACTCCTCTGCCTTCAGGAGTCACTTCTTCAGCTTGTTACTGCAGGGCGGTGTCTGCCATTTCTCTGCTGGCAGTATTCTTTCCTTTGTGAACAGTAAAGGGCGTGTGAGAGGGTCCTCGTCCCTGAGCAGCTGCTCCGGTCCCCCGGAGCGTCGCTCTCCAGCCTCAGCACCCACCAGGTCCTCGCTCCACATTCCTTCCACGGCAGAGCTCACTCGCAGTCTCGCTTACTGACTTCTCCCTCTACTCATCATTTACGCATTGATGTAGTCTCTTCTCACTTAATGAGTTTAATCCATTATTAGCAGGAGGGATGACTGTAAGATGGTCACAGGTGTGGCCAGTGGCAGCCAGGCCACACTAGCATCAACACCCATCATTGGGTGAGTGTGCTGGGCCTTCAGGAGGGACTGTCTGGGGCTCACCCTGGGCTGCCTCCCACCCAGAACCGCCTTCCCACCGAGAATCCCCAGCTGGCTTCCGTGGCCTGTTCCTCTGGGAACTAAACTCTGAGTATTGTTTAGAACTACTGCTACTGAGCACATGTAAAAGTAGGCTGACACCCTCTTAGCATGTCCCAGCCCAGCCCCACAGGACTAGGCACATTGTCAACGTCCTTTCTGCTGGGTTTGTTACTCCTGCACATGGAAAATCCAGTCCCGTGTCCACAGGAGAGTCACTCATTTGCCAGCCCATACCGCTCCGTAAGCCGACTTTCTAACTTTGCCGAGTGTCTGTTTCTTGTTCTTTAGTGTTAAATTTTCAGAAGTGCCCAGAGCAGACCCTGGGGAACAATTTGGGGAGTGGCACAAATGTGCAGTCCTGCAGCCTGCAGATACCTAGACATACAGCGTTCCCGCCCCCCAGCAAGGGCCTCCCTCTCTCAACACCAACCTCTTTAGGGTGCAAGTCCATTTCCCATAGACGCCCGCCTATTTGCCCGTTCTTGGTGCCACGGGAGCCACCTCGCAGCTGCCCCTGGCTGGCCTGTCTTGCTCAGCACGCCTGAGGGTGTTTACGTGCCCACCACGTTCACCAGTTCCTCCCTCTCATTGTTCCATAGAATGTCATTGTATCACTGTGCGCCACTGATCTATTCATAAGCCGCTGATTGTTCCTCGATGTTGTCCTTTATGGTGCAGCTGTGGTAAACACTCTTGTAAAAGTCTCCTCCCGGAGATAAGCTTCCGCTCATTAACCTTTTAAAGGAAGCATCTTTTGTTTTGTTAACTGTCTCTATTGTTTTCCTATTTTCTACACTGTTGACTTCTCATCTTATCTCTATTATTTCTTGCCTAATATTTACAGTGGATCTAAATTTTCTAGCTTCATAAAGCAGAAATTTGTATTTTTTTCAGTAGAATCATAACCATGCATATGCCTGTACTTGTACCTCTCTACGTTATTGAGCACGTGAACTGAGGATCTTGATTATAGGTAGGTGGCACTGTTACTCGGATGTTCTTTTACTGTATTATTTTTTGTCTAATCCCATTAATGTCTGAGAGATTGGAGCTATCCCCCTTGTTATTTCTCCCTTCTATTAGTATGTGTTTGAAGAGCTTGCTGGTCACATCCGTCACGGTCTGCATCCTTCCCGGTGCCTTGGCTGATGCCCATCCCGGGACATTTCCAGTTTTGCCCACGTGCTTTTCTTCTCCCTCGTTTTCTTAATTTGCTTCCCATCTCTGTCACCGTCCTTCTATGCATGCATTTAGCACAGTCCCTGTTTTCCTGATGGCTTTCCCCTTCACTGTTATGGAATGTGCCATGTCTCTGGCCTTACCTTGCCTTGAAGTACACCGAGCCGGACACCACATGCTGATGACGGAGTCAGCCAGCCTCTTGCGCTTGCTTGGGCAGTGTGTGCCACTGTGGTCTCCTGCCTACTCTCAAGCCGCATCCTACACTCCAGGCCCTTCTCTTGGGGACAGCACAGTTTGTCCCTGCTTTTTATCTGCCCCTCCACAAACTCTGCTCATAGATTTACCCACTGATGTCCAGTGTGGTCACTGATATGCTGGATTCAGGCTCACGGTTTGCACTTGGTTTTTGCTTTCTCATATTCATTTTTTGATTTTTCTCTTCTGCCTTTCTCTTACATAGGTTTGTGTATTTATAGCCTTCCACTGTACTTTCCTGCTGGCTTTTTAGTTTTGCTGCTTTGTATTATTTTGCATTTATCCTAGGGGTGGAGTTATCCATTCTCAACCTATAACTTTGGGTTAATATGGCATGAAACCTAAGAGCAGACTCTGTGGCCGCCAGATAGGTCTCGTGCATCATGCACCCCAGGGGAGCATTCTAAGCTGGCCTCCAGCTCACCACAGTCCTCCTGCCTCTGTCTGCCGAGTGCTGGGGAATGGCATACATTTTAAGTAAGAAAAGACCACTTTCACCTCAGCCCCTGGGTTATTTCAACGATGATATTTTTCTATCCAATTTTTTCCACTTGGCATTGATTGCAGCTTATTCCCCACACCATGTTCCCAGCCTCCTTTCCCCACACTTGGAAGCCGCACCTTCAGTCCCGTCACTGCTCCAATTCCTCTCAGCACACTGAATCTGCTTTCCCTGGCCTTCCTTCCATGACGCCGTGGGCCCTGCAGCTCTCGCTCTTCCTCTGCTCAGCGAGAATGTATCTGCCACAGGTGCCAGGCTGCCTTGCTGGCAGGACAGGCCCTGAGTGCCTGGCTTTGCGGCTGCCAGGTGACCTGGGGCCTCCCTGCTGTGGGGCACAGCCGGACTCATGGCAATGGCCAGGTGCCACGCTGTGGCCTAGGTGAGGGGCTCCTGAGAGCGGGCCATGCAGGCTGTGGCAGGGTGGCCTAAGTGAAGGGCTCCTGAGAGGAGCAGGCACCTAGTTGGGACCTAGGGTCTTAGTCTGCTGCTCCTCTTCCTTTTCTTCTTGGCTGTGAGGCATCCTACCACTAAGCCCCAGCCCCAGGCATTTTGGTGTTTGTCATTTTGGAGATAAGGTCTTGCTAAGCTGCCTTTGTGGGACTCAAGCCTGAGGTCCTCCTGCCTCTGCCTCCCTAACTCTACTACCTTTGAGGTGCACGTTAGCTCCTGTCTTGTATGAGTCTGTGCACTGGACAGTGCTCTAGGCAGGTGAAAATGAAGGAAGAAAAAGAAGCCAGCTGGAGGGACCTGGGGCTTGCAGCTCCTTCGAAGACCACTTGCCTGGCCTCTAAGGCCTTGGCTTCCACGTATGGCGGCATGTGTGCACTTTCAAGGCACAGTTCTGTGTAGGAGAAGCACTCTCCAGAGCAACAGGACCAGCAAGTTTCGAGATATGCATGGATGGAGAGAGAGAGAGAGAGAGAGAGAGAGAGAGAGAGAGAGAGAGACACTCAAGTGGATGGGTGGATGGACAGATGAATGGGTGGGTAGATAGATGAATGAACAGACAGATGGAACAACAGGCGGACGGATGGATGGATATGTGGGAGTAGATGGGAGGATGAATGGTAGATAGTTGGTTAGCAGCATTGTGGGGGCTGAGAGGTCCGGGGTCTACCAGCAGCAAGCCTGGGGCCAGAAGCTGGTGTGTTGTTCTGGGCTCTGAAACAGGCCTCAGGCCCAGACAATACGGTAGGCAAATCTGCAGGCTGATGGGCTCCA